TGCTTGATTTTAATTATGTGTTTCCTTGACCTTATAATCCTTTCCACATAGACAGGAATCCTAGTGAGTTTCATTCTCGGATCCCTGTATTTCTCTTACAACTTAAACATTTTAAAAAATACCTTCAGTGGCAGGGGCGGACTACCAGGTAGGATTCTTTTGCTTTCCAACCCTCCTTACAGTTCAGTGGTGCCATACCACTGAGTTCTGACCAAGGGGGTGTGAGCAGAAATGACATTTCCCACTTCCTATCCTGGCCTTGCCCATGAAAACTGCCCACAAGCCATCCTCTGTGCTCTCTCCTCAGCTGAGGGCTGAATATTGATTCCCAGGAAGACCTTGGAACAAGCTGAAGATAGCACAGCTGCCAGCAGTCTGGGCTCCTTAATTAATACGTAGCGGAACAAACCGCCCCCCTGTGCTCTGACCACACAGCAAGCTGTGATGTGAGAAATACACTTTGTGACATTATGCCAATGATGTGTTTGTAGTTTTCCTTTTTGGTTTCAGGAGTGAGACTACCTTAACAGAAATATCTCTGTGCATAACCTTCAATACCAGCAACATCTCCTGATTATAATAATCACAAAGTTTTGTTACAGAGGCTGTTCTTTCTAAATACTCTTTATAAATACAAACTTACCTTGAATCTGTGAAGGTAGATAGAACTAAAATCTCTTCTCATTCTTTTAGTTACGTTTCATCCCACATAAACCGACAGATATAATTAAATGTTATTTCATTAGCATCCTCAAACATTTTCAGTGTAGGAGGTCCTATGTTTTAATGTCTTCCAAACAACCCAGAAATATTTACTGGGAGAATAGAACATGGCACCACGATAATATTTCTTTGTCCCAAAGAACTACAGTCCAAATGACATGGTGAGTAAAGGAAGGTTATGTAAGGAGAAGGAGGTAAAGTAGGTGAAGAGATGATGTCATAGCAAATGGAGCAATCATGAAGTCATGAAATTAAAATGTTGCCTGCAATGAAAAAAGCAATAAGGTGTTCCAAAAAGGAAGTATTTGCAGGGGAGGAAAATCCTGAAAGAAACAATTAATTAGCAACTAACTAATTAAAATAAGGAGAAATTATAAAATGTTCAGGGAGAATATTGTTACAGGAAATCATTAAAGCACATAACAATTTTGAATTCAGTGAAAACAAAAAAGTTTTTCTTCAGTGGGGAAAAAAGCTCTAGGAATAAGGAAAGAAATTGCTTTTAGCCTAATGGTTGAGGTATTATAAGAAAGTGTAGGACTGAAGGGGAAGGATCAGAAATGAGTATCAATCAAATAAAGGTATCTGAAGACACGATGACCAGGTCTTTCCGGAAAGCATGTAAGTGGTGGAAAAGGATAGAGCTCTGGCACAGATGCCGTAAATGCAAAGGAAAGTGAGTGTCCTCAATCTGGAGACACGATGAATAATTTTGGCATCCAAAAACTCACCTATAACGTCCCTCTATTTCAAATGTTGAACAGTAAAATCCTCCGATGCCGTGCACACACCTGCATTTCTCTATTCTTCTACTTCAGCAGGAGAGTCCATTTCTAGGCGCTGTCATTTTGTGAACACTAGGACATCTGGCACGGAGAGAGGGCTGGGGTTGGGGGGCAGAGGGAACTGCAGAAAACAACAGCGCTGCTTGGGCTTAGCTGCTGTCCAGTTCTAACTATGAGCATGTAACTGCTCTCTCAAATGCTGCCCTTCCTTCAAGGGCTGGTCATCCCTGTGTGTGAGGGGAGAAGCCTGCAGCCCTAAGGAAAACGGTGGTTCTGACTCCAGTCTGCACGTTCGTTGTAATCCCTAGGGGGCTTGTAAAAGTTCCGGGGGGGCAGGTGGGGCTGGGCCGCACACCAGACCAGTGGAATCATAACCTCTGGGACTGGGACCCAGGTACCCACAAGGCCTGAAATTTCCTCCTGTGTCCCAATATGTAGCCAGGGGTCAGAGTACAATTCAGGCCGTTCAGAGCACGAGCCTTGGAGAGGCTTCCCTCCACCAGGGGACTCAGTTCTTGCAGCTGCCCTGAGGAGGGAGTGAGGTAATACATAAGCAAGTATTCAGCCCTCCAAAATGTGAGTTAACATACAGCTCTTATCTGTAATTAGGTACAAGTAAAGAGTTCTGTTAAATGTGTGACAGAATATTTTTAATATTTTTTTAGTAACATTCAGACCTTTATGAAGTACATTTGTAATACAGCCTATACAATCACAAAGTAGTTAGGGAGCTTGATGAATGCTGTTTTCTGTAAACCCTGTGGAATTGTTTTAAAGTAAAAAAAAAAAAATTAGATGCCAGACATTGTTTAGATTTTACAACCAGGAGTCAGGCTCAGACAGTATTTCCTTAGATGGACACCTTTAACAAAATTGGTTTTTAAAAATTCAAAAGCAAAAATTCTTTTCTGCTTTGAAACCAATTTATATATTTTTATTGAATAATGCAGGCTCTGCAATTTTCTTTTATTCCAATATGCCTGTATTTTTGCTCACTCCCGCATGGATTTGTGCATTAAAGATACTCAGTAAGTGTTTGTTGGTCATCAAATTGTACACCTTAAATATCTATATTTGTCTGTTATTATATCTCAAAGCTGTTTTTTAAAGTCAAAATTAGTAAACAAATGTTTGCCGGATAAAATGACAAACTTGCGAACTGCTCTCTTCTGATCCTCTTACGCTTTACCCAAAGCACCTTCCACTTTCTGATTCATTTGTATTTAATCATTCTTGGTAATCTGTCTCCTTCCCGTTGGACAAGTGTCCTAGGACAGGGATCTTTAGTTTTGTTTTCTGATGTGTGTCCCAAGCATTGGGAACAGTGCTTGTCAGTGAACGAGTGAGACTTGAATCCAAAAGGCAGTTTCTCACTGATTCTTGAATTAGTGTTGATGGCTTTCTTTAAAAAAAAAATGTTTTTCTTTTATTGATTCTAGATGGGGGAAGGGAGGGAGAAAGAAAGTGAGAAAAACATCACTGTGCAAGGGGAACATTGATCAGCTGCGTCTCACACACACCCAACTGGGGCCACATAATCCAGCCATGTACCCTCACCGGGAATCGAACCAGTGACCTTTGGGTTTGTAGGATGACACCCAACCAGCTAAGCACCACCTGCCAGGGCTATTGTCTATGGTTTTCAAGGCAACAGTGTGGTGTTGGAAGAAGGGGAAAGAGATCCTGAAGTCAGTTTCTGCCATTTACTGGCTGTATAGCTCTAGGCAAGTTTCTTGACTGCTCTGAAGATCATTTCCTCACCTGTAAAAGAAAAATATGACCTAACTTCCAGTGTAAATTTTAGGGAGGAAAATCTCACAATAAATAAAATCAATAGTTGATGTTTCCTGACCACTCCTAACATAATATGAGAAAACCAGTGTTCCACAGTGTCTGTCGCTGCCACTGACCATTTTTCCAACCACTCTGTGAAGCAGAGACTGTTGTTGCCGCATCTCCTGGGTGAAGAGAAGGGGCCTGCCCAGGGCCACGCGGTGCCGGGAGCAGAGCTGGGGCTAGACCAGGCCTGCTGACTCTGAAGCGCCTACTTGTAACTCCCAGCTGCTGATTTGTACCCTTCCACCCTCCACACTTGGTGGGGAGCTCTGAGGGGGCTGTACTATGGACAGCTTCTAGATCTTTCCTGCCCTGATATGCTTGAGAGATGCAAAGGGCTAGTGAGTACAACTGGCCTCTCCAGATGGTACCTTTATGAGCCTGGCTCTCCCAAAGCATGAGGGGCAGCGGAGTCTGGTTTGGAAATATATCCCTCCCCACTAGGACCCTCCCGCTGCTGCTAAGGTGTCTTCACTTCGAAGCCTGTTTCTGTGCCTCCCCCACCCCCAATAAAGCTTTTAACTCATAGTATTTCCTGCAACAAAGATAGCATATTCCTGCATTAAGACTATATTAAAGATTATGGCCTTACTGGTTTGGGAACAAATTTGATGATTTATGGCTATGATAACCAAGTTGATCATTGTAGTTGTTTTTTGTTTAATTGAAAAAGTACTGAAACTTTTAAGAATCTTTGAGGGATCTTTAAATGCCACTTCAAAGAATGCAGTTAAATCACCAATAATTCTTTTAATTATTGCAATATAATAAACAGCAAAAATAAAGTACGTTGCTGGTTTTCTGTATAAAGAAATTAGCCTTTTTCAGGTATTTTCTTTTAAAATACTGAGCATTTAAAATTACTAAGCCAGGATTAATGGCATGGGTCATTTCAGCATCTAGAAAACCATCTTTAAGTTTGAGGGAATGGATTTCTCTTTTGAAATAGTTTGTCATCAGTTCAAGTGCTAAAAGAGTACATCAGACATTATTAAAATGAAAAATAACTTCTGTGTATGCTCTAAACCTCACTGTTTTTAATTGATTGGGAAGTTAGCTAGGAGGCCAGAGAAAACTGGCAAAACATGTAAAATTTAAAAGGAGAAATAGGCATTTTCAAGGACTGTTTCAAAAGAGATAGATAAGTTTATTATTTACTTTTGGTAGTTAATATTGTAGTGTTCAAGGGCATAAGCTCTGGAAACAATTCAATGCTTATTCAGTCTGTGGGCTTACACATGTTATTTAACATTCTGAACACTGATTTTTTTTTTCTACTTGTAAAGAAGGAACAATACCTACCTCATAATGTTACTGTATTACATGAAATAATATATGCAAAGCATCTAAGTATTATCTAACATAAACACTTAGTATTTGTTTTATAATCATTGAAATATAATTATTTAAGTCAATGAGATACTAGAAAATCTCTTTGCAAATAATTAAGAAACATTTCTATAGAATCTTGAATGAAATTGTCAACTGGCCATGGAATGCTTTTTTTATTGCTAATTCATAAGTGAATTTTATCTCCTTTTGGGATGAGCCATTAACTTCTGCCCTAGTGAAGTTTTAACTAATGCAATTTTATTTCAGACTATGGAGTAAGCATGTGCTAATTCTAAGTTTCTTATAAAAAATTATATTTTCTAGGAGAATGCATAGAAGGGCTGCGGGAAAACGACTACCTTCTGATTCACTCATGCCGGCAGTGGACCACCATCACCGCCCATAGCCTGGAGGAGGGTCACTATGTCATTGGGCCAAAGATAGAGATCCCAGTTCATTATGCAGGTAAAACTCCTTTCGTGGGGCAAGAAGAGGGAGGCAAAGGGAACTTGAATATGCTGACTTTTTTTCTCCACAGTGAGAAAATAGGAATTGTTTACTAACTAAACTGTACAATGCCATAGAAAAAGAAAAATCAAACACTTTTGCATGGTTGTCTGGTCAGTCATTGAAAGCAGAGATTCATTTTGTTGTAGGTATTTCTAATTAATGCATGTAGTTAAACATGGATTCTTATTAGATAGTTATAAAATGAAAATTTCACGAACACAAGCGGTGTCTCTGCAGTCTTGGAATGACCGTCGTCATGTGTAGCAAACCTGGGAGCTCCAAAGTCTCCGTATGACCCTGGGCACGACTTGAACGTTGCTTTTGTGAACAACTTTGATGGCCTGATTTCACAAGATCTCATTTCACAAGCGAGCATCTGTCTGGTTTTAAAAGCGTTGGATTGGATGTCCAGATACCTGGACGTGCCCCTCTTTGCAAACATGGCATTTAGAACACAGGCAGCTGAGATGACCTCACTGCTTTTGTTAAATCAGAATAATAGCTGCCTTCTCACCTCACTTTGGACTCCACTCAGCTCAACAATGCCACTCGGTTTTTATTAACAGCATTATGTGCTAATACTGTTTTGGAGTTTAGGATCCATCTAGTGGCTTGAATATACATATATAAACGCAGTCTTAAAAAAAAGAATTTATTACCCTATACTTTCTCTGGTGCTTATACTTCATTATATAAAAGGTCTTGACCTTTTATTAACTATTCAACTTTTTAAGATCCGTAGCAGGACACTTTAGGCAGTTAGCTTTAAATTGTGTAGTCTTAGACTACTATTATGTTTTTGAGTGAAACCTTACAGTACGCAGAGAGTTTTCTATTTGGAAAAGGGACCTTGCTGTGTTTCCTGCCACTGCCTGGAACAGCAGCAAATAGTATTAATACATGTTCAGTAGATATTTGTTGAGCGAATGAATGTTCGGCCCCCTTTTTTATTCCTAAACGTCTTTAATTGCCAGTATGACCTAGGATTCGTCCATCTTCTCAAAAACCCTGTTAGTCACCCCCAAAAAAAATTATAAGAAAGCATTTCTCTTACCTGAAACTTTGTCCTCTAGAATTATATTTCTCAGCCAAAGGAGTAGCCTTTTATGGAAAAGGAGGGTCTGGTAGTTGCAGAAAGTGTCACTACTGTAGGTCAGGAGCCAGGCCGAAGGGAAAGAGGATGAGTCAGACCCTCCAGGCCGCCAGTCTCTCCTGTGTGAGAACCACCGCAGGTGAGATCAGTGCTGTTTTAGCAGCCCCAAATATCTGGTTCCTGTCTTTTGTGGAAAACGGAAAAGGAAGGTGTAAGATTATACTTCATTCCCATACATTTTGACCTAATCTGTTGTGTTTTTCTCTCTTAGTAAATAGAGTTTTGGGCTTTTCTCCCAAACTCATGTGAATAGCTGTCAGATCAGTCCTCCAAAGGAGAGCTTTCATCTGATCATTTCCGCAAATCCCCAAATTGCCCTGGACTCTCTGACTTGATGCTCATGGCCCTCCAGCTTCTGGTTCTGGTCTACCTCTTCACACTTACCTTTTCTACTCTGAAGAGAGAACCTGCCACTCTAGCTAGTAGTTACCTCACTGTTGCCTGGATATACGGGATACTTCTCCATTTACATCATTCCTTGGCCTTGGTTGCCTTCCTCAGGTTTGCTCATATCAGAACCTGCCGTTGTATCTAGAGGATGCAGGAGGTGCCTCCTATCCACATGTGGCCTCCTGATGAACTCATTGTATATCTCATTCATGTGGCACATGTCCTCAGTCTTCCTTCAGTTACTATTTCTGTGTACACACATACCTTCACTCACCGGTTGGACTGTACATCCCTGAACTAGTGAGACCAATTCTGAAAAGCTCTTGTGAATCCTTTCGCTCTGTACACAAAAGATACTATACTTCATGGCTATAGATGCTCGATCTAGCAACCTCAAACTTGGCTACACATTGGAATCATCAACAAACTTAAAATGACCAGTGCTCAGGTCTCATCTCCAGAAATTCTGGTTTAATTGGTCTTAAGTGTGCATTGGCCTCCTCCTGTGGTTAAATTATGCAGCCGTGGTTGGGGATCCTTTGTTTTGGAATGGGCATTCCCTGTGTCAGATGATAAGATTTCCCCAAACACCTGCAAGTATTTATAAATGTTTTATTTTTTTGAACTATTTCTTTTTTTTTAATAGTCATTCAACTTTCACTGGGAAGAAAGCTATGGTATGTTTAGCAGCTTACACTTTATCTGCAATGAAGATAATAGTACACTGAATTGGAAAATCAGGCAGTGTGTTGCAAGTGGTACATCTTTTTATGTGAAATTAGTGTCGAGACTAAAACAAAATATGAACACTAAGATCCACCACTTTAATTGAAAAGATTAAAGGAAGAAAAACTTAAAATAAAACTGTACTAGTTCAGGCTACTATAACAAAATACCAATACACTGGATGGACTATAAACAACAGAAATTTATTTCTCACAGTTCTGGAGTCTGGGAAGTCTAAGATCAAGGCACTGACAAATCGGCCCACTTCCTCATTTGCAAATGGTCATTTTCTCATTGTGTCCTCACATGGTGGAGAGAGAGTAATCATCTCTCTTATGTCTCTTCTTGTAAGGACACTAATTCAATTCAATTAGGTGGAACCCTCATGACCTAATTACCTCCCAAAGCCTCCACCTCCAAATGCCATCACACTGGGGATATAGACTTCAACTCTCACTTTAGAAGGGCACAAACGTTTATTCCATAGCAAGGACCAAATGGTTTATGAGACATTTGTTAAGATCATTTCAAAGGACATATTGGTATATTTTTTCAAAGAATGTGTGTGTTACCAAGTTCAACCCTTGGAAGAAAGAGAGCATAAAATAAATTATGGACACCAAAAATATCATTCATGTCTCTCTGATTTATTTAGTGCTGTCATTATAATCAGAAGAAATCCTTAGCCAAGTAGATTTTACTGATTGGTCAGAATTTCATTTAGGTTGAGATTCACCTCTCTTTCTTTAAGAAAAATTAATGAATAATTAAAATTAAATAAGCTTAACATAGTAATAAGTCCTACCAGCTTTGTCACCAACCAAGTTGGATTTCTGGTTCTGCCATTTACTGTATTACTGTAATTAATTACAGTAATAGAGTAAAAGTAATTACTTTGAGCAAGTTACTAAATCTCTCTAAACCTTCGTTACCTCATCTATAAAGTGGGGATAACTGCAGTTCCTTTCCCCTAGGGTAGTTGTGAAAGCTAAGAGGTAATACAAGTGAAACACCTTTCAGAGTACTTATCACTTAATAAGTGCTCCGTAAGTGTTCATGGTGATAATTATGATAATGATAACAACAAAATTTAACTCTCTATTTTGCACTAATTACAAGTCGAATTACTTTTCTGCTTATTAAAGCAAGCTGAACACTGATAACCCTCAAAATTGTTTTGGCTGCTGTGGTTTTTTTTAACATTTTATTTTGAAGTTGCAATAGCATAATTTATTCCTTTATACCATCAATTTAGTTTCACACATTTTTAACATCATTTTTCTGTGTTTGTCTTACTCTTTTCCTCCCAGCCTCTCTCTCTGTCTACACGTACACATTCACATCACTCTTATTTTTCTTGAATCATTTGAGAGTAGGCAGCATATATCCCCATAATACTTCTCTGTTTATTTCCTAAGAGCAAGGATATCCTCTTATATGTAACCACAGTGCAATTAGTAAATTCAGAACATTTAATACTTTCATCTACAGTCCATGTTCCAGTTTTGTCAGATGTCCCAATAATGACATTTATTGCATTTTTCCCCTTCAGGACAGCATCCAGCCAATGACCACTTACTGTACTTCAGTACCACGTCCCTTTAGCCTCCTTTACTTGGAACAGTTTCCTCAGCCTTCCTTGTATTTCCTGGCATTTTTAAAAAACGTAGGCAAGTTGTTTAATAGAAGAGCCTTCAGTCTGGGTTTCCCAGTCTCCTTGTGATAGGTTTAGGTTACGCATTTTTGGTTGGATTGCCGTGGACATGATGGCTCCTTCTCAGGCAGTCACATCTGGACACATGGGATGGCCCTTGGTCCCTTATTGGTGACATTAATTTTGATCCCTTGGTTAAGATGTTGTCTGATTTCTCTGCTGTATTATTACCATTGACTTTGTGATTACTAGAACATTTGAAAGGAAATACTTTGAGATTCTGTAAGTATGTGTCTTGTTCCTGCTCTAACTTTGCCCCCTCACACCTTGAGCCACTGTTGATGTCTTCTGTCTGATTCAATTTTTACTATGAAGGTGAGAAAAAGGCGCATTTCTAACTTAACGCCATCATTCCTTCTTACATTTGTCAGTTGCCATTCTACTATAAGGAAGAGATTTTTCTTCTTTTCCACTTACATATTCACTTATCAGCGTGGAGTTATGGATTTTCCATTCTGTAGGTTATAATATATTCCTGTCCTTATTTATTTTGATGCTCAAATTGTCCCAAAGGTAGCCATTTGGGTACACACTGTCTGATGAATCTCTATGATACGCCTCTTTTCATTGTTTTCAAGCCTGTCCTTATTTTCTAAGATCGGTAGCAACCGTTGTTTTCAGTCAGTCTACTATTCCAGTCGGGACCGCTGCTCTGTCCTTCCCAGGCCGCCCCGCGCACTTTGTGGTCGCTGTAAATTGTGTCCCTGGGAACCACGCAGAGTCCAGCCTGGGCATTCACGTGCCGCTCTCTTCACACATATTCTGCAGAGTAGTAAAACTCAGCATTTTTAGGAAATCCTAATTCAGAGTGCTTTTCCCATATTCTTTGTCAGAAATTTTCGTGTGAACTTTGAGAAAAGGTAGCTATGAGTTGAAGTTTTCTATCAGAATTGCGCCCTGAATACAGTGGTAATAACATTGCCTTATTCTGAATTCTGAAATTATTAGATGTGCTTTGGGGAAAAAATAAAG